TTCTTTTAATCTTTGGTAGCTTTGTTGTTGTTATTTGTTATAAGTTGTTCTTATTTATTTAGTTATATATTCTAAGTATGCCTAGCTGCAATTTGATATTTGTTTACTATATAAAAATAATTTTGTTCTTGTTTTTATAAAATAGCATAGCATTATTAACAGAAAATAATTATTATAATATAAATAATTGTTAAAATTTTTTATCATTAGTGGATTTTGAATTTATAACTTGCTACTTAAAAGGTTAACAGCTTATTTACTTTATTTTTAACTTTTTTTAATATTAAAAGTAAAACTTTGCTTATATTTTTATAAATAATTTTTATTGTATATATTAATATACTATATATTATAATATACTAAGATTGTATTATATAAAATAAAATCTACATGCAAGAATTAAATCTCAGACTATTTTACCTGTAACCTAAATCAACTAAAGTAATTAAAGCCTATTTAGATTTGTTATACTTATACAAATCTAGATAAGTTTGATCCAGATTGTATAAATACTTTATAAGAAATTTATAAAGTATAAATAATATGTAATTTGTTTAATAAAATATAAAAAATTGTTGGTTATTTGTATAAATACATTAATTTTAAATAGAATAATAAAATAAAAAGTAATTGTAGTTAATATAATAATTGTGTTATAAAAATAAATTAAAGTTTGTTAATATTATTATTATTTAAAATTAAGATTTTAGAAAATTTTATAAAATAATACTAGTTAAAAATTTAAAAAAAAAGAATTTGATATTTTTAATATTTTAATTAAAAAAAAAAGATTTGTAGAAATATTTGGTATATTAAGTTTTTTAGAGATATATTGCATTGCTTATAGTAAATAAAATTAGTAGTATTTAAATTAAAGTTTAAAAATTGAAGTATTAAAAAATTGTATAATATTTAAATATACTATTATTTAGATAAAAGTATGTGAATTAGTTGTTTTAAAGAAAGTATTTTAAAAAATATTTTGAAATTAGAGTTATTAATATTATTATTTTTAGTAGTTAAATTAAATAGTATTTAATATAAGTATAATAAAAAAGAATTTATGTTTAAGATTTGTAGATGAAGATTAACCAATACCCACTCCAATAACAGTTTTTGAGTGTTGCAAAATAAGAAAGGATTTTTAAAGAAGTTATTTTTTCCAGCCAAAGCTTCAAACCAGCAAGGGCCTCAGTCCTGGTTCCCAAAAAAAGAAGGCAAGTCAAGTTAGTATTGAAAAAGTTTTTAAAAAGAATAAGGAATGCTCAAAATAAACTGATCATAAAGAGAGCACCCACAACTCAAACATTAGAAAACACAGCTAAACACTTAGAAACTGCAATGTGTACAGAAGATATAGCTCTTAAGGACTCTAGAACCTGGTCTAACATGGTAGAAAAAGAGTGGGCCTTAACTACAGGGACCACTTCTAATAACCAACTAAGCAAGCAGATAAAAGTCATTGATGCAGTTTTGAATAATTTAATGGGTATTGCTATAGAAGTTGCTAGAAATAATAATAATAGTAGATTGAGTAACATAATCAGTAATGATCTAAAGTCAACTGAATACAAGCACTTAACAGATCATTACACTGCAGAGAAAGACAGTGGTCAGTTCAATAACACTGAAATTAATGAACAAGAAAGCAAATTCATAACCAAGAACAAAGAACAAAAGAAAAATAATATACAAAATTTAGGTATAGCAACATAAAAGTAGTCTAATCTATTTATATATCTAAGAAGAGGCAAGGTCACACTTTCAAAATATACTCTAAGAGGCAATATTATGACAAAAAATGACAATGCTGTTATGTTTGATGTATAATGTCTTGATGGCATACCTCTTAATAAAATTATATTAACTATGTATTTTAAAATTAGAGATGATTTTGTGGCTGCTAAACTATATTTTATCAAAAAAAAGCATACTTATTTAGAGATTGTTTTTAAAAATGAAGAGAAGCAATGTAGATATGCCATAGAAGAAATAATTTTGTTTAAACGAACTTTATTAGGATACCTTAATAAGATCACACTTAGCTGTAAAGCTAAAAAATGTTTCTATGAGCAAAAAGGAATTTATTTTTGAACAAATTTGAGAAGCATTCGATAGTGTTAGTACAATTAAGTTCATTAAACTAATGGTATATAAAGACACTCCTATATGCACAAACTAGTAGATTATAATTTTTGAAACTACAGATAATCCAGAACTTGAAAGTAGAATACCTCATCACACTAGCATCTGAAGAAAAAAGGTTGTGACTGAATGAAGGTCTGCCTCAAAGTCTGTTTTTATTGTGATTAAACTTGTATATAAAAAAGAACTATCTTCAGTACAAAGAAACAATGAATAATAGGCTATACTTTAAAAAATTAAAGGCTGATAGATATAGAAAAACAATAAATACATGCAGAAAAAAGACTATAGTATCTCTTGCTTTTGCAGACAAATTTGTCTGCATAATTGCATTTTTTTGGCTCTGATTTATTTTTTTAAAATGTTAAAGTATCTAAATAAAATTTGGTATAATAATATTTGAAAATAAGAATTACTT